GAAGGGCCTCCAGGGTTAGAAAAAATGCTACCTCAAAGACATTTCTGGTCCTTGTTGAAAGCAAAGCGTCGATGAGAATATCTGGTGTCCAAACGAATCAAGGTAACTTTTCTAAAGTTTCTTGGCAGATGTGGCCCAGATGTGAAGCTCCCCCTTGAGAACGGATTTGAAAAGTGGACCGACCGCTGGCTCTTAGAAGGGGCTGCTTGGCGACCTCTGGGTGCCAGCTTTGGCCTGGAAAAGGGAGTGTGGATCACATCCCCTGGAAAAGGCTCGCCCTTTTCTCTCTCTCCCGCTGCCTTCGCACTCGGAACCTGACACCCTTTTTGTCGTTTGAGTGAGTGGAGCTGTGCTGCACGGCAGCCAGACGGCCAACCCAAGAGGTGCCTGGTCCTCGAGGATTCGTTTCCCGAAGGACAAAACATGTTTCAAAAAGCAAACCCCCAGGTTTGCAGTCTTCCGTCCAACTGCGGGTTGTGGCCTGTTTGGTGTTTATTTTTGGTCTGTTCTGCGACTGGAGAAGTTCCTGTCTTGGAATACAACCCCCAGGATCCCCCAGCCAGCAGGGCCTATGGGTAAAGAAAGACCTCTTCCAAGGTCCGGTCCTCTGTAGAGTCCCTCCCGTGATTAGGCTCTTGCTTTAAAACGAAGGTCATCGTTCAAGGGTTGAGTGGCATCCAAGATGTTGATGTTGCCCAGGAATGGACAGGAGAGGCGTCTTGGTGGTGGGATGGCTTCACTGTGAAGAGAGGGAGTTTTTATGAGGTGTTAAGAGAAACCCTGCAGAAGGAGGCAGGAGGGATCTCCACCGCAGAGATTTCCTACAGCAGGAAATCGTGGGGGTGTCAGTGGTGGACCTAATTTTCAGTTTGCAGCAGTCCAGAGAGAGGAGAGCAGATGGGAGAAGAAGTCAGAGGGAGAGAGAGTGTGTGTGTGTGTTGGGAAGGAGAGTTTATAAGAAAAAGAAAAGCCAGAGCATGCAAAGTTAGTTTTCAAAAGTGACCCATTTGAAAAGTTGTCGCTAGTGGTCAGCAGTGTTGGAGCACTAAATTTTTCATTACATGCTTTTTACATTCCTGTTACTATCTACCAGTATCTATCTACTGGTATCTGTCTACTGGTATCTACCAGTATCTACCAGTATCTACCAGTATCTCTCTCTCTCTCTCTCTCTCTCTCTCTCTCTCTCTCTCTATCTATCTATCTATCTATCTATCGATTTGATTTGATTTGATTTGATTTATGGTGCCTTTCTCCCTATGGGGGACTTTACAAAACCCTTAGGCATAAAAAATGTGCAAAAATTCCTCTCAAAATGTTTCTGACACTGTCCTTAAAACACCCTTGAAAATAATCCTTGAAAACCAGTAGGAAACCTTCCTTGCTCAGTTTGGAAGGTCCAGTCAGTTTGTTCCTGTCGGTCACCTTGCTTTTGAAATGAAACTCCACTGGCCCCCCACATCAAAAAAGTGTAAGTGGTTCCTGATCATGGTTTTTTCTAAGGGCTGAGCAAAGTAGAGGAGGAATCCGGCCCCCAGGATGAGCACAAACGGTGAGCCACGGGGCAGGGGCCTTCGAGATGGAGCGAAGCGGTTTGAGGAGGGGAGGGAGGGGTGGCCAGGCAGGAGAACCGGGCAGGGGTCAGCGGACAGCATCACGGGACTGAGAAGGATGGTTTCTTTTGCAGCGAACGGGAGGAAGCAGCAGGTATTCACGTGGCTAAGAGGCGAGCAGGGCTTTGTAGCTGCATACGGAAGTGGCACCATTGTGGGTGGGAGGGATGGAAGACAAACAGGGAGACGTTGAGGTTGAGAGCAGTGGCAACTCTTGTCCACCTTGGTGGACGGGAAGCCAGATTTAGGCAGAATATCAGGAAAAACCTTCCTAACTGTGAGAGCAGTACGACAACGGAACCCAATGACCTCAAGGGGAGGCAGTGGGCTTTCCAGCACTGGAGGTGTCGAAGAGAAATTTAGACAACCCCCTGGCAGATCGGCTTGGATGCGGATTCCTGCCTTGAGCCAGGAGGTTGGACTGGATGGCCTTACGGGGCCCCCTTCCCAACTGAACTATTCTATGATTCTGTGGTTGCTTGGGAGGGAGGGGACAGGTGGAGCCTGGTGGGCTCAAGAGTGGGCTGATTGGGGGAGCTCTACTGAAAAGAAGCAATGCATCCAGGAATTTTTTTAAAAAAGATGAAACACGACTTAGCAAAGATGACAGAGCTAAGGGGAAGATTTGGTTTTATATTTAAACATGGAGAGTGGGAGAGAGGGTGAAGGCAGCAAGCAAGAGAGGGAAGCAGGTGAGAAGAGAAAGGGGTCTGGAGAGGGGAGGCCAGTGGGGAGGAGGAGGGCCCCCAGGTTGGTCTGCTGCATATCAGAAGGGATCGGCTAAGGGGTATCTATGATCATAATCATCCACCCCGGTGCGTAATGACTGTCTGTGGCTTCTTGCCCTGCCAGAGCGAACAAACCCAGGACAGCCTGGATGAGGAGGAGAGCCAGCAGCCTCTCGGCCCCACCGCCGACGGGGGCGCTGGGCCGGAGGAGCGACAGGCGGCAGACTCTGCAAGAGGAAGGGAGAGAAAGGCCAGTGAGGTACGACGAGTAGATAGGTGCATCTCGTAGGGGAAGCAGGGGCTGCAAAACGTCAAGGAGGAGAAGGAAGGAGCGAGCAAGCGAGCGGGTGTTAACACAGCTCCCAGAATCCCCACCTGGGGATGTTTCCCCCATCGCCATTCTAGAGAAAATGTTGACCAGAAGGCCCAGTTGTCCGAACTAACCTAGGCAACGTTCCTTTAAGGTCCTTTTGTGGGGGTTATAATGGCGAACCTCACAGCTTTAGGTCTCCGGCTGCGGAGCCAGAAGTTGGGAGTTCGATTCCCACCCCCTCACCCCCATCCTCGGGCCTCCCGGACAGCGGCTGGACCGTATCATCCACAGGGGGTCCCTTCCAGCCCTGCAGGTCTAAGATGGTCGTTGTTATTAGATTATAAATCCAGCTCGAAACACTTTTCTGGCTCATGGTGCAGAAATAAAAGGGCGAATAGGAAAACAAAGGCTGGGTGATCGCTCTGTGAGACCATCAACCCCCGGTCCACGGAATGGTGCCGGTCCGTGGCCTGAGCCAGACCGGGCTGCGAAGATAGACCTCCCGCTTCCCAGCTGCTTTGCGCATGTACATGCGTGCCAGCGTCGGCGTGAGCGCTGCCCCACCCCTTGACGCATGCCCCCAGCTGCTTTGCGCATGTACAGCGTCAGTGTGAGCGCTGCCCCACCCCTTGACGCATGCGCCCAAGTGCCTGAGCACCTGTGCAAAGGGGTGGGTGCGGGGGGGTGCAGGGACATGCAGGCGCCCCTGCATATGCGCCAAGGGGTGAGGGAGCGCTCAAACCGGCACTGGCACGTGGGCGGGCACTCCCCCACTGCTTGGCGCATGTGCCTGAGAGCGTACGCGCACACACCTACAGGGGGCCCCCGCCTTCCTTGGAGGCTCAGCTGGTCCGCAACCCCAAAAAGGTTGGGGACCAGTGTGTTAGACCCCTAAAAAGAGGCACCCGTAAGCTAGCTGTCAACCGCACACCGGTCTTCATCAGGCGGTGCTCCCAAGAGCTGGAGGTGATGGAGATGAAATCTGAACATTCGGAAAATCATGGTCCAAGGAGTTGGCTGGGGTTCTCTGCTTAAATCAAGTTTCAGAATGGGCATTGGGGGTGGGGGCGGCGACTTGCAACCTTGGGTCCCAAGTGTAGGTTTCAGATGCTTTGCTTCTGCGGGTGTGGACGGGAGTGTCTCTCCCGATCTTGCTGAATGAAAAGCAAAACTGGAATATACAGTTCCTTTTTTGGCCAGGGACAGAAGCCTGCAGAAACGTCACAAATTCTGTGTCAGAAAGCATTGGGGTGAAATTGAGTTTGCATGGTAGGTAGTCCATTTGCAGCCCCATTAAAACTCTTCCCTACAGACTGGAGGGAGATGTTATGTGACCTTGCTTCTGATGGTATTCCAGTCTCCTATTCAGACTCTCTTCCCTGGTCCAATATAATCCTTTTTCTCCTGCAACGTTCCCAGCCTCATGACGACCCATGCCAGGTGGAGAGTTCGCTTATGCAGTGGTTTTAAATGGTCTGATAAAGGCCTCAGATCCCCACCCACTTACCTTTGGATTCTGTAGGGGGACCACACCAGCTTTTTCTCCTTTTTTTTTTTTGGTACTTCTAGAACTTAGCAAAGTATTGGCCAGAATACCCAACACCCAATACCCAACACTCGGAACAGGGCTGTGTGTGAGCCTGGCACCCTTTTTGTCATTTGAGTGAATGGAGCTATGCTGCACGGCAGCCAGACAAAACATGTTTCAAGAGGTGCCGACAAAACATGTTTCGAAAATCAAACCCCCAGGTTTGAAGTCTTCCGTCCAACCGCAGGTTGTGGTCCATTTGGTGTTTATTTTTGGCCTGTTCTGAGACTGGAGAATACAACCCCTGGAATCCCCCAGCCACCATAGCGTTGGGAGTTCGTGTTCCAAAGATGGAATTCCCCCTGGGCCTAGTTGATTCCCCTCTTCCTCCAGTTTATATAGTTCCAGATAAGTTAGTAAAAGCAGGAGGCTGACCAGATTCCCATGGGTGCAACTTTCACAATTGCACAAAGTTGGAGAAACGCCCGAGACCTTTTGTTAAAAAAAAAACATTATGAATAAAAATTGGCAGGTAGTTTTGATGGGAAAATCATCAGGTCAGAAAATATAGCGATCGTAAAAAAATTAAAAAAGAAAAAAGAAAATATAGATGGGAAATAAAACATGATAAATTTATGAAAACCTGGCTGGCAACCTTTATTAACGTACAGTACTAAGTCAAGCAAGGAGGAATATGTTATAGGAAATAATTTTGACTGTTGGTTTGTAATATTTTAGGAGAATGAATTTACTGTGTTTTTCGCTCCATAAGACGCACCTGACGATAAGACACATCTAATTGTGGAGCGAAAAATACGGTACATCAAAGGCAAAAAGGCAGGGGAAAAGGACGGGAGATTCGAATTTCCTATCCTTCCCCCCTGCCTTTTTGCCTTCACGGCGGCGGGGGGGCCCCCGGAATCTCCAAGGGCTTCCTCCAAGCCATCGGAGACCTCCTGGGGGTCCCGCACTGCCGCAATCTGGCCCTGAGGAGGTCTCCAAGGGCTTTACATTGGAGGGAGTCCTTGCAGAGGTATATTCACTCCATAAGACGCACACACTTTTCACCCCACTTTTTTTGGGGGAAAGTGCATCTTATGGAGCGAAAAGTACGGTAAGTGTGTTAGGATGTAAAACTACTAGGTGTATAGATGATTATAAGGTGGTAAAATGTAGCATAAGAAAGGTGATTGTATTGTATTATAACTTTAAGTTGTTCTTATGTCATGGGATACATGGGTGATAAATAACATGAGAATATTTAAATGCACTTTACAAGCATTGGTTTTTAATGTAATACTTGTTTAATTCTTTTTTAAATCTTTGTATGCCTACTGTTTTTTTTGTTTGTTTGTTTGTTTTTTTGCTTCTTCCTATTGCCTTTTTAACGATGTAAGCTGCCTCGGGTTCTTTTTAAAGGTGGGATGCAGATATTTGTAATTAAATAAATAATAAAATAATAGTAAAAAATTAAATTAAAAAAGCAAAAAAAAAAAAAGAGATAGAGAGTGGGTTTCTGGATATAGCTGGTGAGTTGCATCTCATTTGTGAAGGTGGAAGAGACTCTGGTCTCCTTCCCTAGCCTGGGGTCACCCAGAGCCATTGGACTACAATGCCCATCAACTCTGCAGCCGTAGTGATGGGCCTTGTAGTTTCAAGGACGGGAGGGCGGCCATGGTCCCGCGGAGGCCTAGAGAGGTGGCATTCTCCCTCGTGCTTACCGCCTGTGTCCTTCTTCCTCTCCCCACTGCCCTGCCAGTGTGATGAAGCCCGGCACCACCTGCGAGCACTGGAGAGCAAGTGCCAGCTCAGCCAGACCGAGTGGGAGCGGCTGCACGAGGAGCTGCGTCTGTGCAAGGAGGAGATCGAGCGGCTCAACGGCACCATCCCCATTGGTGGACGGGTAATCCCGAGGCGCAGAGGGGGCCCCTGGGGCGGGAACCGGGGTTGGTGGCTCCCCAGGAAGCGAGGGGCTTGAAGGTGGGGAGCTACAAACGCTCGCTTCCAAAGACCAAACCTGGCGCTCCTTGAAAGAGGCATAAGATTTAAGGTTCACAAGCTTTCTCCAGATGCATGGAGTCCGTCTTCCGTCTCGTGGAGGTGTTTTTCTTTTGTTTGCTATTGCTTCTCTGTCTCCCTCCATCCATTGAAAGTACACACCCCCCCCCAGTGTCTGCAGCCCACTAAAGCTTTATGCCGCATAAAACCTGTCGATCTTTCGCAGGCCGCGAGGGTGACTGGTGCCTTTGCTGGGACAGACAACCAGCTCGCCCCAGCGGCTCCTGGGCCAATGACTTCACTTAATGGAGTCACTCGGAAAGCCGCCGCCGGATGTCCTTCTGGGCCACCGGGCAGAAGGTTAGGGTTGAAGGGCTGGCCGAGATTTTTCTCTGGCTTCTTTCAGCTCCGTGCCATCATTGCCTGGGTAGACGTAGTGGCAGGGGGACAAAAATGTTGGAGAGGGAGGCAAACCATGGGCCCTAAAGTGAGCTGGTGCCCAATCCATGTGGCATCACTGGAGGGAGTGCATGGCACATGACTCTGTGCGGACCATTAATCCAAGGAGATGTGGGGAGCAAACCTTGGAGAATCAACTTTTGGACAACACTTTCCAAATGTTTTAACCCTTTTCGCTTCTTAGTTCTACATTTATGGTCGTAGGTCTGTTTATTTTATCATGTTGTGAACCGCCCAAAGTAGTGCATTTCACTAATGGGGTGGTATTTGAATCAGATTGAATCAATGGATAAACTCACCTCCCAGAATCCTCCAGCCAGCACAGGGGATTATGGGAGTGGTTGTTCCAAAAAGCTACCATTCCAAACCTTGGCGAGCATAAACCGCTCAGTACTGTGAGGGCAGGGCTGACTTCGCTTGCCAGTTTGCCAAGAGGGGCACCCTGGTCCTTCGCCTGGAAACATATTTTTGCCCCCACAAACAGATCATCCTGCTGGATGGCTGGCTTCACAATCATGTTGGCCCTGCGGAGCGCCAGAGCGTCCCTCGTGTCGCCTGACACACCAGTCTATGCACTGGGCACAGTTAAATGTTTCATACATGTTGCTTGCAAAAAGAATAATTAATTTACATTCTTGACACTCTTTGGGTGTCTTTAAAAGAAGATTAGACAAATTAATGAGAAAGAAGAGTCCCGTCAGTGCTTAATAGTTCAGATGGTGCTATAGAACCTCCCTGTTCAGGATTAGTCTATTTCCAAATTCCAGATGCTGGGAAGAGCAATAGGAAGAGAAGGCTCTTGCTTTGGAGCCCCACATCTAGATTTGGGCCTTAGGCTGGATCAAATTGCTGGCCGATTGCCTCTATGTGTAAAAGAATTCCTCTGTACTTTAAAAAAAGGCAGTTGGCTTTAATGTGCAGAATATTATTAGTATTATTATTATTAAAGGTTTCCCTTGACATTTTTAGTCCAGAATTTAAAGATGCCCCTTGACATTTTTAGTCCAGTCATGTCTGACTCTGGGGTGCGGTGCTCATTCCATTTTCAAGCCATAGAGCCAGCGCTTGTCCGAAGATAGTTTCCATTGTCACGTGGCCAGCGTGACCAGGGAATGCTGTTTTACCTTCCCACCGAGGTGGTACCTATTTATCTACTCACATTTACCTGCTTTCGAACTGCTAGGTTGGCAGGAGTTGGGACAAGCGATGGGAGCTCCCTCCGTCATGTGGATTCAGTCTGTTGGTCTTCTCACCTTGCAGCCCAGAGGCTTCTGCGGTTTAGCCCGCAGCGCCACCATATCCAGCTTTTGTTTTTAAATGGGTTTTCCTTTCATACGTGAACAACCAAGTATGCTTTTTAATGCAACTGGATTAAAAATGGGAAGGGCCAGATAATAGTGGTTTCAAGACCTTGCTCTCAAGTTTGCCCCAGACCCTTTGCCCACTTCTGCTTCCTTCCATGCCTTTATTATTAGTCCCGATCATCGCTCTGTAGAAGGACGTCGGTTTCTGTTCCGGCCAAACATGTCTCCGTGTAGATTTCTAGGCAAGGAAACCCTGCACAGAAAGATTGGGGAATGAACTTGGTTGGACTACAGCACCCAGAATCCCCTGGCGAGCACATGCTTGGGCCGGTGGGGGAAGCTGGGAGTTGTAGTCCCAAACAGTAAACTTGCCTTGGCTCCGTCCACAAAGACGGAGTGCTGGCTGCTCGGTCCCTGCGCTCTCCCTCTCGTGGCCAGGAGAGGAACTGGAAGCTGGACTGAAACGGCAGAGCGGCTGCTTCCGAGGCAGCTCCCAGGAAAACTTGGAAAAGGGATGATTCCTCTGGTCCGGTGGGGAGGTGCATGGCCCGAGCAGGACCTCCAGGGCTACCCAGCAGAATCGAGGATCGCACTGGTCTGGGAGTAGTTGCACAGAGGTCACTGCGCGCGGCGGCCACTTCTCCAAAACGGACCCTTGTGTCTTCCGAGTCGAACGTTGGAAGGGGCCCGACGGAGTCCCGAGTGCCATTGCTTCCTCCTCCTCCGGCTCCTTCCCAGACCCACAGTTTCTGTGGCCCGAGAGTCCTGACGAGCAGGCTGGAAACGGGGTCTCGGCCGTTCCGGGGTCAGAAGGTCCGAGAGCCCCTTCTTCTTCTTCTTCTCGGGTCTGGCTGGTGCTCACCGAGAGACCCTCCGTCCGGTCTAACCTCTCTCTTTTCTCTCCTCCCCTGCCTTGGCTCATCTCCCCTCCGTGGTGTCCGTGGCCTCCCCTCCACCCTCCTCCATCCCACGCTCTTCCCCTCTCCGCCCGCCCTGCCTTCCCCAACCCCCCCAGGTTGCACATGCCCCCGACCCCCCTGTGATCTCACTCCCTCTCATAGGTCTGGTTGTCATAGTGGCTCTGCTCTGGTGCTGGTGGGCCGAGACCTCTTCCTAAGAGTTCGACCAGGTATTGGTATCTCCGTCTCCGGCTGGGCTGCACGCTTCGCTTGGGCCACCCGCATGCCGGACCGTCTTCCTCCCTTCTCCTCGATTTCTGTGGCTTTCTGTCTGCCCTCCACCACCACCAACACTCCCCCCCCTGCACACCCCCAGCCGTCACTTCCTCCCCTCACCTCCTCCTCCTCCGACTCTTCCACTCTCTCGCCCCCCCATCTCCTCCGCGGGAAGGGGATGTGAGCCGTTCACGGAGGCTGTGGCCATCAGTGGCTCGTGGCCACGGTGGCTGCGTGTCACCTGCGGCATCAGAGGCCATGTACCTCTGGATCCCACGTGCCGGAGAAGGTGGGGTGGAAAATGCAGTTATGGGCCACTGGTTGAACAGATGGCTGGACTACGGAGGCCTTGGGTCTGACCCCGGGTGACTGCTCTCTCTTCCTTTTTCCTCTTCTTGTGTTCTCTAACCTCAGCTGTTTCCTTCCTGAAAGAATCCCCTCCAAACAGTTTATTTTGTTGCGTTTTATTTTGATGGCTTTTTCCGATTGGTAAGGGACCCAAGTCAGCACCCGATCAATTACAACAACGTACTGCAGTTAAAAACACAATATGATACATGTTTGATAAAGTAAACACAATTAAACCCACCAATTAAAAACAGTTGAAAATACACTCGGTTTTGCGTGTGCAGAAGCCGTATCCAAGCCCATTAAAGTGTTTTTGTCCTGCCTGTCGGGTTTATGCAGAGGAAGCCAGATAAGGGAGTCAGGGTTAAATAAAAAAAAAAAACTGGGGCCACATTAAGGCAGCCCCCTTTTTCCCCATTCAAACCAGTGGGACCAACGTCATGGGTACTTGGTACCAATGGGTTTGCTGTTTTTTTTTTTTTTTGGTCAGCCCTAAATTTAATTGATGCTGTCTGGACCCAGTGGCCTATGGAAGAATATCTGTTGATCTATTTTGGCCCAAAAGAAATGTCGTTCATGCGTTTATTTAAAAGGAATGTACTTTTTTTAAAAAGAATGTACAGTTTCCCACCTGGTAAGCAGAAAGGAAACATTTGCCGTTGGACTGGGTTTAATTTATTTAATAACTGCCTTGCGTTTTTATTGTATTTTATATACTGTTTCGACTTTCTGTTTTAGCTGTATAGAGAGAGCGGTGTACAAATAGATTGCGCTAATGGATTATGTGCTTGTATCCACCAGGGTTAGCCCACTGCTGTCTCCCCAGATGTTCTTGGACTCCAGTTTCCATCATTCCCAGTAGCCTGGCAAGTGGTGAGGGGTGATGGGAGTTGTAGTCCAGCAGCATTTGGAAATCAAATTTTATTTATTATTATTATTTTAGTCTATAACGTATCTTTCCTGGTCACACACCCCAGCTGAGTGACTATCCAGCATGTCTTTCTTGTTTTGTGTATCTGTTCTTTCTTTCTTTCTTTCTTTCTTTCTTTCTTTCTTTCTTTCTTTCTTTCTTTCTTTCTTTCTTTCTTTCTTACACTTATATCCTGCCTTTTCTCCAAGAAGCTCAAAGCGGCGTACATAGTTCCTCCCACAACGACCCTGTGAGGCAGACTTGGGGGAAATTCCTTTCCTCACTGTCCCCGGGTCATGCTATTTTCTTTCGTCAGAACCTTTGAATTCTATCACAGAAGTAGAATGATCGCCTGGGGACTGTTCTTCATGCCATGCACTTAAATGGCCCTTACTGTGGCTCAATTAAGTGCAATGCACTCTGAGTGAAGCCAAAGCCCAGGAACAGCTGGATTGCCCCGGAGGTTGTATGAATGGTTGTGCAAGGATCCTTGGAACTTCACAGAACTTTTCATTATGAGTATCCTGTAGGCAGATGAGCACCTTGTGTTATTAACTAACCGTACAGATGTCATTAGAGACATCAAGATTTCTTTGTGTTTACGGAAAACATTATTTCTGCGACCAGACTGATATAAATAGTTGTGCAGATGTACCCAAATGATTATTTGGCATGACTTTTTTCTTTCTTGCTTGCACCTTGTGTGTGTGTGTGTGTGTGTACACACTATTCTCAAGAGTGCCTGGGAACAAGCTTACTCCTGGACTTCATTAAAAGTTGGAATTGATACATCTGCTGCTGAACCTCGCAGTTTTGTTTTTGTTTTGATCTCTGCTGGGCCTCCCTGAGAGGGGCAGGACTCGGTGATCCAGTGGGTCCCTTCCAGCCCCACATTTCCTAGATGATAATGATGATGATGATTCTGCAAGACCTTCCATTATTCTTGCTGCAGCAGACTAGCATGGCTGTGGAAAGGCAAAAAGATCGCCTCCCTGTAGTAAGCTAGAAGAGTTCTGTCAGCTTCACATACATTATCCCAAAGGGCCTTTAAATCAGTCCTGCAAGGTAGACCGTTTGTGCCGGCTGGGGAGTCGAACCGGAGCGAAGGGGTCTTACAGGAGGCCTTTGGATGAATTGGTGGTGCGTGCCGTAGATTTACATGCTGGAGGCCTTGGTTTCAACATCACCCCCGGCCGGAAGGACGAGGCTGTGCTGGTCTCCAAGCCACGCCGCAGAGTATGGCTGAGGACTCAGTTTCCCCGGCCACGGGGGCCACTCCTGTCCACCACATGTTCCACAGGGGAAGGAGGGAGGTCCAGGGAGTACGTCCGCATTTAGTTGAGCTTGAACCCTGGTTTTGCAGTGTTCCCGCCCAGTTTTCTCCCTGCGGGAGGAATCTTCTGCTTTCCTCCAAGCTGATTAGAGTTTTATAGGTGTGTGTGTGAGACAGAGAGAGAGAGACGTGCGGATGCCACCATGTGACTCAGTGCTGAGAAGAGCTGTGATCGAGGAAGGCACTTCAGTGGCCCTTGGCGTGGTTCAGTCAACTCCAATGCATGGAAGGGGGTGGGCGAGAGACGGGGTCAGCAGGCGCCTCCACTGACCCCTGTTCTGTCCCTCTTTCCTTCCACGCAGATTCCAGCCGGCGGGATGAAGCCCTTTGCCCTGTTCGCAGTGGTGGCGGGGGGCATGATCCTGTACCCCTGCCTGAAGAGGGGCACCAGCAGCTGGATGAAGACTTGAGGGGAAGCCCCCTTCCTGCCTCCCCCACCCCCAGCAAAGAGGACCACACAGGCCACGTCCCCATTCCCCACCATCACCATTCTGCACCTATGAGAACCGAACACCCTCTCTTCTCTACCCGCCCGATCGCGGACATCTGTCCGGAGCCGAAAAGGCCACTGTCTACAGACCTGGCCCTCTTGATCCTTGAGGAGAGCCAGTGGATCCCATTACAGTTGTATCAGGTTAGACGCTGCCACCCTTCCCTTGTCTTCTTCCGCAGAACCGTTGCGGTTGTTTCCCCCTCCCTCCCTCCCGCCTGCCCTGCTGTTTGCACCGAGCCCGATGCTGAGAAGGCACGGGGTCGGCTCCGAATTTGGCGAGGGCAGCCTTTGAGTCTCGCCACCGGGCTTCCCACCTTGACCTGCCCACCGCCCCTCTCCATCCTTGAGCCGATCCCCTGTCCCGCTCTTCCACTAGCCCCAATCCCCCACCCTATCCCAAACTGGGAGAATTGGGAGCGAGCGGCTGGCAGAGGGGGACAGAGGCTGGAAGGACCCTTCCCCAAACCATGAGGAGCAGGCCTTCGTCGCCTCGGCCGGTCCTCTTTCCCCGGGTCCCCTCTTTGGAGCCCTTCCTTGCTGCCCCCCCGCCCCCCTGGAGCCGTCCGAAAAGAGCCAGCGTGAGCAATAAAGGATGCCCAGCAGAACAGCCCCCTTGGGTTCCCGACCCCTCCTTGCTGTCCAGGGATCCTTTCCCTGCGGGATCTCGGAGGCCGAGCCAAAGAACGAAGCCGGACATCCGAGAGGAGAGCTATTCTGCGGGGCCGCGACAGAGCATGTTCTCCTTATCAATATGAACACCTGTTTAACACTGTGAACGAGGGCAGGCCAGCGAATCTGGGAGTTCCAGCGTGGCCTGCATCGACCTGCGTCTGTGTCTTGTCTGCCCAGAGATTTCTTCCATATCCCGGGGAGACGGCGGCCTGTTCCACCCCCTGGAATCTATGCATCTCACCTTCAAGCCATTGCTCCCCTTGCTCACCTTTTCCGCGGGGTGGGTGTGTCCCCTTTCTTTGCCTCCCCATTCCATTCTAGTCCAGGGAACGCATTCAGCATTTCTGTGTCGTCGTTGCTGTTTTGGGGCTGGCCCAACCAAGACAGGAAGGGGGGTGCGTGCGCAGCGGTGGGGGTCGGGTGGGGGTGGAGAGAAGTTTGAGGAAGATCTGTTTGCCCCCCACACACCCACCCAGGGCCATCCAGCGTCCTTTTCAGCAGGTCACCTCCCACCCACCCAGTACAGCCACCGGTGGGGAAGCCGTGGTGTTTGGCCAGTGGCCGAGCTCTCTGGGCATGAGATTGTTCTTGCTTGGCGCGATTTGGGCGATCTCCCGCGTCTGGGCGTGGCACCCCACTGGCACCCCATCCCGTGTCTCGTTCCTTCACCTCGGCTCTCTCTCTCTTTTCCATCTGGGGAAGGGTGAGGGTCGCCAGAAAGAAGCGGAAAAACTCCCCAGAGACACTCTGTGGATCTTTCTCTTTGTTCTATGTTGTAACTCAGTAAAAAGAAAGAAAGAAATCTTTTTAAATAAACCGGATTTGAGTCTGTTCTATCCTCATTTTTATGGTTTTGCCTTGTCGAGGAATCTTCTTGAGTTCAGATTTCCGATCGGGGAGCTTTCACTTTCTCCTTGTAATGCAGGTTTTACAACCGGAGTCACAAATGTAAGGCACGTCAGCAGAAAGACCTCAATCAATGGGTTGTCCCAGCTAGATGAAAACCATGGAATCCATGGGAATTACCAAAGGGCTCCCTTCTCGTTCTGTGGGCAGGAAATCCTTCTGGTGATTGATGCTTACACAAGCGAAACTGTGTTGATACGGGTGGTGAATGACCACTCATCGGAGAGAGGCGGGTGGCCTTCTGGGACCCAACCCCTGCCAGGCACACACCCAGGAAGGCTGCCATCATCACCCCTTTAATCAGAGACAATTTGCCACCGACACTTACGCTCTTTCCCTTAGGCTGAAGTAAATTGCCCACAGGATTCTGGCCGAGCTGTTAATTCAGTGGCTGTACTGCCTTACAGCTCCTACTGGCCCTGACCTGAGCCGTCAGGAGGGCACTTTTGTTTTGGGTGGGGCGAGGCGAGGGAAGGGCCGCCCTGCAGCCCAAGCAGATTCTCTGAAAGGGGTGTGTGGGTTGTGTTGAGAAGGGGGGGGGAGAGAGAGGACTGGAGCGAAGGCTGTCGGAGTCTTCTTGGCGTGAGTCACCTGTCTCTTAATTGCTGCCCTGCCACAGAAGGCAGGAGGAATGGGATGGGTTCAGCCCAGGCCCTTGTGCTGCTGGAGCAGACCAAGCAAAGCCCCCTCTCGGGAGAAGAAGGGGAAGGGGCCGGCGTGTTTCTGGCCGGGCGGAGGAGCCAACGTCTGCCTGGAGCACAGGGTGTTCTCTGGGGGCCGGGGCGGCACATGCCGTCTCTGATTCACATGCCGTCTTCCGAGGCCAGGTGCCCGGGGACAGAACCTCATCGGCTATATAGAGCCCAGAGGACGGGGAGGCAGGCTGTGGGCCAACGGACCAGAGGGCTCTGGAGCGCTTGTGCGTTGGGGGCAAGAGGGGAGACGGGGCAGCCAGACAAAAGCGCCCGCAAGCCAGCTTCCCTTTGGGGCCGGAAACCAGCCATGCCAGACTGGAGCCGTGAAGCAGGGAGTTACAAAGTGCGACTACACAGGCTTAGAAGTGGCCTTTTGGGGGCCGCTTGTGGAGCTGGCTGGTGTGAAATATTTTCTGACAATCACATGACACAGGGGAAATAGAAATCTCTAGCCCCCCCCCTCCAATCTGTGCCCTGGAGATTTTTGTTCCAGCAAGCAGGGGCTACTCTTTAGGGGAGGCGGGGCTGGAGCAAACTCTGGATGGATGGATGGGTCCCTTTGGTTGCAGAGTTTTGAATTTCTGGCAGAATTCCCTTTTGTTAGGCAGTAGAGGTACAGAGGCTCATAGAGGAGAATAGCTACAAGTTCCTCAGATGGTCCACCCCTTTCTCATTAACTGGCACTTAAAGTCTCAGTGGCTGCCTCTGAGCCATTTGTAAGAGAAAGAATTTAAAAAAATCCCTTTACTTATAGTTATGTGAAATTACAGACTTGTCGATGCTGCTTTCTTTACAACGCTCATACTTGGTGAACAACTGACAAGATCAACAGCAAACAAACAACTGTCTCCAACAGATGAAAGAGAGAGAAGGAAACACTCAGCAGAGAGGCAGAGCTCTCTTCAAAATCAGAGGCTGGAAGGAATAGTTGGCTGGTTTTGGAGAGATAATCACCCCACCCCAGAAAAGTTCCTCCTAGTCACTAAAACTACCGGCAGCATGCGAGATTGCAAATAAAACTCCAGTGGCTGTAATAGATCTCTCCCTGTCAAGTGAGCGTCCTAAAACCCTGTCCTTCCAAACTCCTTTCGGAGATCCTTTTGAAAATGGAATGGCTCCCCATTTCACTTTGGTTCGGCTGCAAATTCTACGCTTGTGTGAATCGTGGGAAAGAAAAAGCACTTGCTTCATGTCACCGGCCTGTGGTTTGGATGAGTGTGTGTGTATTTTGATAGGAGCTTGCCCTGCAAATAACATGCCTGAGTCAGACAAAAGAGGCCCCATGGGATGATGTCACGGCGTGACCAACCGTGTTCAAAATGGCCCATGTGGACCATCTTTTGAGAAAGGCGGAAGGCATGAATGGGACTCAGCCAGTGACGTGCGATGGGTCAGCATGTTCATCGGCTCGGCCACGAAGTAATCCTGCCCACTTTACCCGAGGCCCTGCATTTTCTTGACAGTGAGTCAGACCGTCCAACACAACTTATTAAAAAAACCTCACGGCCGGCTCGGGATGGGGGAGGTCGCTTCTGATAAAGCTTTTGAACCGGAGATGGACAGGGCAGCTGAACTGGCTCATATGAACAAAGGAACAAATGAACAAATTAAAAGCAACAACCAATGGCTCTTAATCACCAGTTTGTGACCAAACGGCTCTCAAATACTCTCTGATATACTTGGGATAATTTATCACACTATTCCGTTCCTGGGAAAATCCATTCCCCCACCACCACCAGTGGCTTGGAGTCGGACTGCTGAGCTAATTGGTGACAGGGACGCCTCAGGTGCGATGCTGGGTGATGTTCTCGTCCCTGCTGCTCAGGAAACCCATGGCGTTAACCGTGCCAGCGCCACCTTCGTTGCACGGCTGGAGATCATCATCACAATCCTCCCAGATGGGCCTACAAGAAGAATCCAAGAAAGGACAACTCTCTTGACCTGGGTTGCTATGTTTTTCCAGCTAAGCTTTGAGGGAACCTGCAGGTGGATTTGGCAGCTGATGAAGTCATCCTTCCCGGTAGCAGAGAAGTCCCAGAGTGGTAGCTCCACCTGCCCAGGTTCCGTTACACCCCAGCCTGTGAACAAAGAGTCTTCCTAAGCACCCTGCACGTTCAGCTCTCTGGCTCTCCTTCTGCTTTTGGATGCTGCTCTTGTTGATCCACCTGGGAGCATCACTGACGTTGCACATGTTCTCTGTCACTCACACATCTCTGCCAATCAAGACATCTCTGTTCTGGGCCAGTTTGGACAAGGGACCAGGTTCGGAGGTGCTCGCTTATTAGGAATACTCACCAGTTCCCTTCCTTTGTGCATTCGATAGGGCCGCAGAGAATTGCAGAAGGAGCTGGCTTTTAATCTTTGTGACCTGTCTGGAAAAACCTTCTAAATGTTTCCTCTTGAAAGGTCTTCCGAGTATTCTATTGCTTCTTTGTTTAACCCATTGTCATTCTTTTCCTCTTCCCAACAAGATAAAAGAAATAACCATCATTAATACACATGAATCACATTTGAAAGCTTAAAACACCTGCACCCTGCAAATTAAATTAAGTAAAAGCAGTGCTGAAAGCTAATTTAAAGAGAAATCTTCCAATACGTTGACCAGACTCTGCTAAAGAGGAAGATGGCAGGGCTTGGAAAAAACTCACTGAGGCAGGGAGTTCCACATACACAGGGCTGTCACCCAGGAGGCCTTTAATGGGTTGCCATGAACTGGACTTCTCAAAGTGACATGACGCAGGAGAGGGGACACAGAAGTTCAGGGAGTTGCCAGAGGAAAAAAATGACGTTCTAAATCTAATGGGTTCTGTTATCATACTGTTCTAACAGTTAAGAAGTTTTGTCCTGAGATTCTGCCTAAATCTTGTTGCCCTCCTTGCAGCTTGCTCCAGTTTGTTGGCATCCTTCTTCCAATGTGGTGTCTGGAACTGGACACAATATGGCCTAACCAGTGCTGAACAGACAGCAAGTACCGCAGGGAATCTGGAGACTCTACTTACCTCTCTTAATGCCTCCTAGAATAGCACTGGCCTTTTTTGCAGCCACCTCACACTGTTGTCTCATATTCAGCTTGTGATCTACCACAATTCAAAGATCCTTTACACCTCTATTGCTGAGCCACGTATTCCCCATCTTGTGCTTTTGCTCCCCCCACCCCCGGCGACATGTAGAACTTGGCACCTGTCAAATTTCATTCTGTTTTCAGCCTGCTGCTCAAGCCTATTCTTTTTGAATTTTTTTCCTGTTTCCCAAGGTGTTTGCTACTCCATCCAGTTTTGTGTTCTCTGCAAATCTGACGAGCACTCCCTGCGCTCCCTCACTCACGTCATTAAGGGACCGTTGTGCTTTGCCACGAACCCCATGAAACCACCCGTCGTCTGATAACCCCTGAGTCACGATTCAAGGACAGGTCAGCTAAAGCCATAGGTAAGCAAATGGGCCGTAACATGAAGACGACCACTACCGCCACCAAATAATGATGTTTTCGCTTTCGTCTTTGAAGAGCAGAGCTGGAAGGGGCCCCTAAAGATCATCCAGTCCAGCCTCTGTCAAGGAGGCCGAGTGGGGGAATCAAACTCCCAACCTCGGGCGCCAGAGCTCAATGCTCTTGATGGGACAAGCAAGCGCATTTCCATGAGCTCGATGCCTAAACCCCAGAGTTCTTGATGGGACAAGCAAGCGCATTTCCATCCGCTCCCTGATGGACGGTGCTGCTCTTTAGCCTTAAGCTTTCCTCATGTTCCTTCTTGCAGCCGAGCTTCTTCCATTCTTTTGCAGACGGGGAGGGGGGGAGACAGACAGCCCCAGGTGGGCTCCCGAGAAGGGGCTGCCGCACTCGGGGTGTGTGTGGCTGGCCCCAGCTGGGCGAAGGGAATGCGTGGCCTTCTACTCCGTCCAAGCCACCTCTGACTTGGCATGTTATTAATAGAAGCCCCCCCCCACCTCACTCCCCGTGGGGGTCCACCATTCAGGAATCCTTTGGCACGCTTGCCGTTGAGCCTTCCTCCGGGGCAGGAGGGCCTGATCCGTGCCTCCCTGTGCCAGCCTCCCAGAAACGGTCATCCTGAGAGCTGTATCACCAGAGGTCCACCTCCTCTAGGAAATGCAAACCAACATGGGGACGGTGTGCAACTTTCGTATGGATGTGGAAGAGCACCAGCATGCCAAATCACAGATAATATCATCTTCCCTGTCCTATTACTCTCACTCGTCAG